TGTGTGTGTGTGTGTGTGTGTGTGTGTGCGTGTGCTTGTGCTTGTAAAAACAAACTATATGAATACAAATTTACAAATGAAGAAATACATTTCCATGCGCGGCTTGTGAATCTGTCAATATCTTTTAATGAAATTGTGGAGGTGAAGGGGCGGAGAGAGGTGAAGGGGCGGAGAGAGCACCTTCACCTGCACCACTGAGGATCAATCAGCACAGGTGAGAGCTGTTAGCTGATTGATCCTCAGACTTTAAAAGGAGGCCGCAGAGCTGCCTCGGGAGAACGCTCTGAGAACACTTGAGGAAACACACTCAAGACACACTGGAGAAAGACACTGGGAAGAGAGACTGGGTGAAGCTGAAGGTCCAGCAGAAAGTGCTGGACCAGTTAAGTTACATGATTTGTATGTTCGGTTGGGATTAAATAAAGAGATGTTAAACAAGCAATGGTTGGACTGGTTTGTCTCTGGCTGTCGTGAGGGGAACCCCGTGGCGTGGTCGAACGCCACAGAAATATGACCATCATGCCTTTTAATATACCACTGCAACACTCACACAGTAGTTAGAAGATTTGAAAATTGCATTGGGAGTCTGACTGCTTAACTTCTACTAAATGAACTAAATATTTTTCACAGCCTAAAAGCCCTCATCAGATGGTGTGCACTTTAGTCCACATTATCAGATAAACACTAACAGGAAGCATTCTCGAGATGTACCCTCAGGGGACGAAACTTAATTTCCTTTTTGCACAGTTTCATATGGATCTATACGTGTGTGTGCATGTTTGTCTGACTCTTTGTTTATCTGAACAAGCCCGGATGCCATTAGTTTTGGTGAAATGAAATTTGAAATGATGATCAAACCTGAGCCCCACACAAACACAGAGTAGTAAAGGACAATCCGAGTATATCGTATATCTTTCCATGAAAAGGGAAGCCATGCATGACTCAACCGCAATTTTAATAATTCATTATATTTTGCAAAGATTTACCAAAGTGCTTTTCCATTATCCATAATAATAACTGTGTACATATGCAGTACATGTACCACAGTTTCCTCTGACTCAAAGCCTCTGTGGACTTTTTATATATTATGATATTCTAACAGATATTCTGTAGACCTGCTCATACAATGTCAGCAACCAGGAAGCCACAAGAGTTCTCAGAAAGCTGTTTGTATTTCTTCAGTATGACATGTTCAGTGATCCAATGTTTGACCTCTAAGTTAAGAAACACTGCTGAGTTGTAGATTTCAGATCCAACCTGACCTACATACACATCCTAGTTTGCAGTGTGTCACCAGCTCTGTTAGAGCAACGAAAACAGACATCTGAATTACAGCAGATCTCAGTGTCGAGTTTGACTATAGGCCTGCTTTAATTTCAGCTCCATACAATGTGATAAATTTAAAGCGAATAACCTGAAACTCAGGAGTATTTTGCAATCTGGGGAGGCAAACAGTGATGGAGTTTACAAACTGTCTAACAAATACTATAATATATTATGAATAAATCACAGTGATATGTCATATGTGTGTGTGGGCTCTGGATGAAGACAGAAAGCACCTCTTACTTTCATGTAAGGACTTGTGTTTCTGGAATTCAGAGGAACAACTGGGCGTCTGTTACCAGACAAAAGTGAACATGTTTTCATACCTAAATAGGTGATCTGTCAGTGCCAAATGAAATGAGCAGCATTAACAACATCATGTGTTTTATGTGTGTAATCAGATTTGTAAATGTGTGAAAAACTCTGCAGAGTTGTGAATGCTTACAGGAATCTTCTAAAGTGTCTTTAGAGTTTGTGGAATCAGATTTGTAAACTTCTACATTCTACCATGAGATTTGCAAGTGTACTGAGATTTGTACATATGTAAACAAATCTGCAAATGCATTAATCTCTGACAGAGTAGACAAATCTTTAAATGCACACATAGATATTAATCATCAATCAAAATAGTCTAATCGAAGAGCTGGATAAAAAGACAAGTCATCAATTACAACTCAGGCGGGCCATGTATGCATCTTTATTCAAGAGCTTGGTCTTTCAGTTCAAGTGCATGACTTGTTGAATTTATGTTTAGATTGTGTATTACTTTTCATCAAAGCCCTGCCCTAAATTTGCTTTGCTTCTGCTCAAACTGTGTGCCTGCACTCTATATTGTTGCTCGCACGGATTTCCTGCGCTCCAGCTTCAGCCCTTCTCCTCACTCGGGCTGCTTTCTGTGCACTCGTGAATCGTCTACTCTCAGATTTCTCCTCTGCTTTTGGATTTTTTGGGGTAACAACCCTGTCAAAATTCCCAAACAAATAGAATTCCAGGTGTAGTGTTGACCACTGGTCAACCAATGAAATGAACTCTGCCTCGTTGCGGGTGCGTTCGCTTTACTTCAGAGCATCCCGTGGGGGCGGTTACTCTTTAACAGGGATTATCCACTCCCACCCTCCACAGCTTTATTATATGGACTTCCCCTTGCTTTCTCTATGACTTTTTGGAATAAATGGACATAGAGGAGGCAGGGTTGATCACCTATATTGCCTTCAATTTTGAGGAGCTGTCAGGTCGTCCATCTTTATATACAGACTATGGTAATATTTGAATTTGCATAGTGTTATTTGTTTAAGTTAGTGATTTACTGTTTAGTTTAGTGATTACCTTTCTAACTACTTAGTAATACCTCAGTCAGTATAAAATCAGTAGATCATTATGTCACACAAAAATAAAAAAATCACTTTCAGGATGTCAGTGGACTGTCATTGGAGCTTTCTGCCCCAGTGTCCCTGCAATCATTCTTGTTTAATTGCATTTGGTGCTCTACCAAGCTGATAGAGTAATAAGTGATCAGAGTCTGTAGTGTTGAATGTTTTGCCTTTACCAGAGCCTACAACCACTAAATCAGTCACAGATGAATTATCCTGCCCTCCCACCACACAGGCCTTTCATCGGCAAAAATGAGTTTGCTCATTTCCACTGAAGCCACAAGCCATTTACAAACTCTAAACTGCATTCATTAGCAGCACATGGAGGAAATGCAGTGGGATCATCTGTAGGGACTGCATCTTTATGTCCATTTGTTTTACTCGCCTCATGTCATTTGATCTTGCACCACTCGTCCTTCACTTTCCCTGAGTGGACCAGCTCCTGTCACGGCAACACACACTCGGGGAGACCACTGTGCCGTGACATTTCCTGCCCCCATGAAAAAATAAAAAAGATGCCTGATTAACATGTAACAATTCTTATTCACAAGTTTTCTCATTGAGCTTCTTTGAGAAGTAGGCCACTGGTCTCTCACAACCATCCTCCCCTGATCAACTCCAACTCCCACATTGCAGGCATCCACTGTGAGCTGAAATGGCAGAGAGAAATCTGGAGTTCAAAGCACTGGACGACAAGACAACATGTCTTTGACCTGAGCAAGTGGAGACTTTGTCTCCTATTGACACTCACCCAAATGGCTTGGCTGGACCCCAACTGTCAATCAAATTTGGGCACAGACTCTACTTATAGCCCAAATTGGCACCTGATCTTCGTCCTATGCGTGGTACTGTGACCTGTGGGTGGTAAATAACCCCCTGTCCAAGACAGGCGTGATGGTAAATGAGGGTTCATCTATGCAACTAGAGGGTGACATGCCCCATGATCACCTGGCCTCCTTTGTGGGTGATCTTCCCCTTGCTCGTCTTCTTGGGGCCTTCTCCTCCAAACCAGTCCCCCAGATTGGCTAGGGGCCACCTCGTAGCCATCTGCCAATTCTGCTGCTTACCGCGGGCTGGTCACATCACATTCGTTTAGATCATCCTCCATTTCTCTTTGGACACTTTTCAGTTTAACATTGTCAAAAGCACTACAGGAATTAACCCATCCATCGAATGCAACCTCAAGTTTTCTCCACAAATCCAAATAGGATGAATATCATGCAGAGCATTTGTAGACTTCACATATGTCAGTGGAAGCCTATCTGTATTCTTATCAGTATTCTTCTATTATTAGTGCTTGTTTTGTTAATAACTATTGTATTGTTTGTTGTAGTGCTGTGTTAAATAAGTGTTGTTGCTGGTAGTCATTTTATTATACTAGATAAATAGCTAGCAAGCACAAATACTCACATTATTTAGCATTTGTCAGATTGCAAGCGTTTATCACTGCTCACTCAGTATTAAGTTAGCGTACTTGGTCAGAGAGTGCTACACTTAAAGTTGTCATGCATGGTTAACTGACATGTAATGCACTATGTAAATTCTTAAACATTACCACTATACATACAAGTACACTTGAAATTATTCAAAATGATTTGCATATGAGGACAAGATTAGATTTGAATAGAGAAGTAAGCTTGTCAGAGGTGTGAGCACCACTGGCACTACACTACTCAAAATGACAGTGTCCCACATGGACATTTTCATATTTTATGCTTGAAAATTTCTATATTAAGCAATGTTCTTGTCATAGTCATCTCTCTAATTGAAAGAATTATTATCATTATTATTATGATTATTATTATTGTACCACAGCATGGTAAAAACTTGGAAAAATGCTCAACACATAGTCCACTGTGTGAAAAGGTAGCCAATCGAATGCCCCATATTTGTCTTTTGTTTTGTTGCTCTTAACTCACAGCATCAACATCTTTGAAATCCAACAAACAAGGAAACATTGATTCTCTATGGAGGAGTTGGTTTATTTGAATTTTCCTTTTATACAATCCAAACATCTTCTTGGACCAGTGGTATAATTTACATTCTTGCTTTGGAAAAGGAGACCAAACATTTCTCATATGGCTTCTTAACAGTCCAATGTTTCACTACTTACTGGGCCACTCCCATTTTCATCATCTACTGAAAAATGGTTGAGCAAATAGATCCATTAACTGGCAGATAGCATTACAGAGAAATGATTTTTAAATGATATCCATGTTACTTACTTACTTGGATTATCATGATTTTATATGAAAATAAATGGATGAATATTGCAACTGCATTGTTGCAGTGAAAAAGTTTAGACCTGGAACTGCTGCACTTGGCAAACATCTGGAACTGCCTCTAAAAATCACAATGATCAGCAGATCCACTTGCAAAAAGAAACATAGTTGTGAAGTACCGCCCATCTCCACTGAATTGCTCCTGAGTGATTCGCCTGGCTTAACATTAAAACACTCCCTACCAGAATAACATCACTTTAAATAAATGGAGGGTGGCGTTCTCCTCAGTGGGAAAGTGTAACTGACTTCACAGGGTTCAAAGGGGAGGGGGCCCTTAAAAAACCCAAATGAACAAAACAAATAATTAAAGTTATTACTTTAATTTCTAAGTACTTAATGAAAATGTCTGAATAAATCGATTGATTGACTGAAATTTGTATCAAAAATAGTGGAGGCTTCCTGAAGTCACCTGTCCCACCCCTACAAACTAATGGTTTAATCCTAGCTGTTGTTTTATTCTGTGAACATGATGAGACTGAGTGACTCCTACAGAAGTGGTGTTCAGTCAAGACAGCAAACGTTAAGTCGGAGAATCAGAGAAGAAAACAATTTAAGGAAGGAGAAAAGCAAACAGATGAGAGCCACTGCTCACAGATCTCTTTCCACAGAAAGGTGAGTCAAACAATAACACAGTTTATTACAACAGGTCACAGGTAACAGGTCACACTGGCTGTTTGTGATCTGTTGTCTCCGAGGGTTTAATTCGCCTTTAAATTGAGCTCATAGTAAAACAATAATGTGGACTTGAACCAGGACGTATACTTTCATGCACATAGTCAAATCTCGCTCAAAAAGAAGAACCACTTCCTTTGGTGACCCTTCAGAATAAAGGTCCCATACAGCCACACTGCCTGTGATGACAGGAAATACAGATTCCGTGACCAACCTTTCACAATAAGGCAACTAAATAAAATAGCATTTCACACTAGAGCTGCAGCTGAGTTTATACCTATGGTTTATACCAGGGTTATTATAGTTATCGAAAACTAAGAGTAAAACTAAAACTAGCAATGAAAAAATAATTTAGTTCACTGAAATAAAAATAAAAACAACAATTACAAAAAAAACGATAACTAAATAAAAACTACAATGAACAATGCAAAACTAACTAAAACTAAACTGAATTGCAGATAAATTCAGCTTCATTGTCGTTTCGTTTCGTTTTCTCCCTCGATTACTGCCTGTCCTGCAGGTGATGGTTAAAGATGGTTAAAACTAAAACTACAAAATCACTTGTTGAACTAACTAAAACTAAACTGAAATAAAAAAGCAAACTGAAAAACTAAATACAAATAAAAACTAATGAAAATTTCAAAAGTATAATAACCTTGGTTTATACACAGGTTTTATCTAGAAAATGGCTATTTGTGTGTGTGTGTGTGTGTGTGTGTGTGTGTATGTGTGTGAGGGAGAGAGAGAGAGAGAGAGCGAGCAAGAGAGAGTGAGAGAGTCTATTGCCCTTCACCTGAAATTTTTTATATAACCACAACTTTGTGAGGTTTCTGGTATGATCAGGGTTAGGGATGTTTCATATGGTGCAGAGTTAAGCATATCAGATCATTATTACTTACACTAAATTGGGTATGTACTGTTCATTAGTGACTACCTTAACGAACACTAGATAGATAGATAGATAGATAGATTACTTTATTCATCCCAAATGGAAATTAGGTGGTCATAGCAGTATGGCATTTGGATACAATAAAAATACAATAGAATGACATACTGAAAACACAGAATAGGACAAGGACACTTAAAAAACACAAGATATAGATAGGTAGATAACGTGCAGTGGCAAGATGATGGTAATAGTACTGATGATATGATGGTAATGTTATTGTTACTAAACAGTATATAAT